GCAGGTGTCCACCCACGAGGGCGAGCCCAGGAGGCACAAAGGCAGGGCTAGCACCGGCCCCACACTGGCCAGCTGGACCTGCTGGGGCCTGACCATCCACGGCTTCAGGGCGGGAGTGAGGCTGCTGAGGGCCCAGCAGGACGGGGCGGGAGCCCCCGCTAGGGAACCTGGAGGCTGCCAGCACTTGGGGTGACTTGAGAATGAGTGGGGCCCTTCCCCACACCCAGCCCACTGCCCGGCCTGCCCCAGCTCAGCCGTGGGCCCGGGCAGGGTCCGCGCAGTCCGTGCACGTGCCCCACCCTCCTGGGCCTGCCCCACCCTTCTCCATCTGAGAATGAGGGGCGGGACCCCTGCACCTCCCGGTGCCCAGGCCCAGGTCCCCGGTTTCTGCTGCGGTGAGCGCCGGCGTGCAGAACCAGAGGCCTCTGTGCCCGTCGCAAAGTGCAGGGGCCTATTTCTGGGTGGTGCTTTATTTTACTTCTCCAAATTCTCCAAATTCTGAGATAAGGGTTTTTGTCAACAAGTAGTGCTTGTTTATACAACACAGCAAAACACAGGCAGCTTGGCTTGGGGGGGCCCTGGGGGCTGTTTCGGGCACCTCCCCACACTCCCATCCCTTCTCCCGAGGCAGCACCTGCCCGCCTTTATGTCCTTTCTCCACTCGTTATCTCTTTCCCCAGGGGGGTGGGCCCTGGAGGCAAGGACCGTGGGCGCAGAGGCTGGACAGGCCTGACCACCCAGATGTCATCCGCTGGGCAGGGGTGCGGGGTCCCGCCTCACTTAACCGTGAGTGCAGAGGCTGGACAGGCCTGACCACCCAGATGTCATCCGCTGGGCAGGGGTGCGGGTTCCGCCTTACTTAACCAGCCCCTCCGGCTAGGGTCTGTCAGTTCCCCTCTGCCTTGTCTGCCCGCCCCATGCATGGCTCTCCCGTCCCCTCTCCTGGTAGGGCCTGCTCCCTGCTCTGGCTGCACACACACTCCTGGAGCCCAGCAAAGCCCAACTCCGTGGTGCCCTCCTTCCCTCGGGCAGTCACGCCACCTCACCTGCGTGGCAGGGGTCTCTCCTTGTACAGGGGACGTGAATGAGTCAGCCTAGGGAAGCCCCCGACCTCCAGAAGGGGCGTGACCCGGACACAGGCAGCAACCAGGCTGCGCCTCCCCTGGGGTCTCACCACCAGTCCTCCCTCCTCATCCTCCCCGCGGGCTGCGGGCAGACCCTTACCAGGGGCGAGGCCAGCCCCAAAGAGAGGGACCAGGCCCTGCATGTGCCCCCTGCGGCTGCTGTTCGCCAAGTGTGTGCACCGGAAAACAAAGCCACATCCAGCCTGGGCCGTGCTCGGAACGAGCCTCGGGGAATCGCAGACCCCAGACTGTGGGACCCCCACAGACAGCCCAAGGGGAAAGATGGAGGCGATCTGTGGGGCATCCGGCCCGAGACCCCCGTGGGATGCCGAACCCTGCACACAAGCACCGTGGGCAGTCCATCGGATAACCAAGACGCGGGAGGAGGAGATGAGCCCTGTCCTGGGGTACAGGGCAGGACAGCGCGTGACGTCATCGGGCTGCTCGGGCAGGTGCACAATTTAGAACCCAAGAATTGCTTATTTCTGGAATTTTCCGCACCGTGATTTTGGACCAGGGTGACCGAGAAAGTGGAGGGGGAGCCACGAGAGGACCCCTGCGTGTGCAGGGTACTGGGTGGGCGAGGACGTTAGCGCTGTCTGAGGCCCAGCACTGGCATTCTGGGTACTGTTAGAGTTGCCCACGGGGCTATCAGTGGGTGGGACGTCCTTGGGATTCCTGCACACAGGGGAAAGGCGGGTCCTGGGGCAGAGAGCGGCTCTGTGCCGATGACGGCCGTGAAGCTGGGGGCCCTTACTGCCGTTTTTCCTCCTTTTGTGTCTGTCTGCAATTATCCACAGGAGAAATGTCCATTAAAGAAGAGGGCGTGGCTTTTGAGGACTCAGTCGCCCCTCCCTCAGTCTCCAGCAGCCGTCAAGGGAGGGCCCAGGTTGGCCGCTTCCCGCGTTCCTCGCTCCATGAGAAGGGGTCACGCGTGGCATCCCTACCACGAGGGGCTGGGGACCCCCCGCTGCAGGGGCAGTTGGAGGCCGCGGGCTGCTGTGACCTTGGGGAGTCTGAAGATCAAGGCCGAGGGGAACCCTGGTGCTAGGAGGGGCAGAGGAGGCCGGCGCCGCGGCTCACTAGGCTAATCCTCTGCCTTGCAGCGCCGGCACACCGGGTTCTAGTCCCGGTCGGGGCGCAGGATTCTGTCCCGGTTGCCCCTCTTCCAGGCCAGCTCTCTGCTGTGGCCAGGGAGTGCAGTGGAGGATGGCCCAAGTGCTTGGGCCCTGCACCCCATGGGAGACCAGGAGAAGCACCTGGCTCCTTCCTTCGGATCAGCGCGGTGCGCCGGTCGCAGCGCGCTGGCCGCGGTGGCCATTGGAGGGTGAACCAACGGCAAAGGAAGACCTTTCTCTCTGTCTCTCTCACTGTCCACTCTGCCTGTCAAAAAAAAAAAAAAAAAAAAAAAAAGAGGGGAGGGGCAGAGGAGCCCTGCTCCCCCTCCTCCGGGCCGCTGACCTGCCCCGGGGAGCGCATCTCCACCCCCCACCCCTTCCTCCAGGGCCAGCACGGCCGGTCGGAGGCTGCTGGCAGATGGCCTGTGAAAGACACAACCAGAGCCCAGAACCAGGCCCGCCCGGCCCACACGCGTGTTTTCTTTGGCCGGTGAGGTGTTTTTAAATGTCTGAGCCAGCAGGGAAAGGTCAGGTGACTTTAATATGAAAATCCACGTTTCCGCTTCTGGAAATGCTGCCGCCCTGACCGCACGCGGTCTGCATTCCCGCATGGGACAGCGAGAGGCCGGGCGGAAGCTGCCGGAGCGCCGTGTCGCCTGGGGTCGGGGCGGGTACCTATGGGTCGCCTGGGGTCGGGGCGGGTACCTATGGGTCGATTAGTCACAGGCAACCCCCCCCCACCTCCGGCTTGGGGAAAGGTGTCCTCAGGCCAGATCCCCAAGGCCCCTTCTCTCCCTGACCCCCTGCCATCACTGGTCCCCCAGACGCACGGCAGCCGGGGTGCTCGCGCCTCCTCAGAGCCTCCTCCTGGCTCCCCAACTGTCCTCAGGCCTCAGATCAGCTGTTCGGGTGGCCCCTGTCCCACGTCCAGCCCGGCACCCACAGACCCGCCCGGAGCCTCCGGCCTTCGGCTCTCCGGGTCTGGTTCACAAACTGGCCACGTGGCCCATCCCCCACCCGTCTCTGTCAGGGGGCACGAGACACGGTTCACAGTGCGGCTGCCGCCCATGTCCAAGTCAGGACCCAGGCCTGCCGTTGGGCCGGGTCCCAGGGATGGGGTCTGGGCCCAGGCGCCGATGCAGCTCAGAGTGGGAACCGGCACAAGACAACATCTGAGCGGCCACAGCCCTCGGCCATCACCCCCTCCAAGCTGGACCAGCAGCTGGGTGGGCAGATATGGGTCAGGGTCAGGGTCAGGCCTCTCCCCGGTGGTCACTCTGTTGTGCTCTATATTCAGAGCCTGGGGAGGCCACCTTGAGGGCGTGGCCTGTCCACGCCCCTGGGCCATTTCCCGGCACAGCTGTCACCATTCCTGGCCCGCCTGAGCCCTGGGGTGGCCCCCTGTGGGCTGATGAGCACACGGCTCAGCAGGCAGTGACACACCTGGGCTGGCCGGGCTCCTGCGCTGGAGAGAGGGCCTGGCGCAGCCCCGCCTGCCCCGTGCCTCCCCCCGCACCACTGCTGATGCCAAGAAAGCAGAGCAGGGCAGGAGGGGGACATGAGGCGTGAAGGCCTCTGGGAGGCCACAGTGAGCGGAGGGAAGTGACCTCATCCTGACCCTAAACTTCCTGTCCCAGGGCATCAGGACAAGGTGCACCAAGGCCTGCGGCCACATGGACAAGGGCTCCGGGGCCGCACACAGGGAACTGGGGCCGCTCTCACGACTGCCCGACACCCCAGGACCACCCATTCCACAAGCGCGCCAGCCTGGGGGACCCACGGGAGCTTGGAAATTGAGCCCTGAAGGCAGAGGATGGCAGAGGTGAGCCTGGGAGGCCTCGGAGAGACCCAGGGAGAAACGGGCGGCCCGGCACGGCGCTGGGTGGGAGACGCCGCCTCGCCTGCGAGACGCCCGGGGTCCAGCATCGCCACCCGCTGGCTCCTTTCTCCTGGTGGGTGGGCAGCCAGCTGCCAGCCGTGCCCCTCTGAAACCCTCGGCAAGGGCGAGGGCACCAGCCTCGCGGCACAGCGGCCGGGCTGCTGCTTGCGAGGCCTGGGACTGCGTCCCTCCTCTGTTTCAGTCCAGCTAACGCGCACCCTGGGAGGCAGTAGGCGACGGCTTGCGGCCCCTGCCACCCATGAGGGAGACCTGGAGGGAGTCCAGGCTCCTGGCTTTGGCCTGGCCCCACCCTGGCCGTGGTTGGCATTTGGGGAGTGGACCAGCAGAGGGAGGTAAGCTCTCCCTCTGTCACTCTTATCAAAATAAATACTAAAACCATAAAAGAATTAAAAATTTTTAAAAATTACGGCAAACAGCCAGTGCAGAGGGTCCTGGGGTGCCCCCGGTGGCCACTGGAATTCAAGTCCCAGCCTCCACTGTCTTTCCCAGGCTCACCACCCTGCGCCTCGGCGCCCCCAGCAGTCAATGGGGACAATGACAGTAAAACCAGGCTCAGAACAGAGGACGAAAGAAGGCACCCGAGGCCTTGGAAATCCGAGACACCGGCACGCACAGACGCTCACAGCCCCAACTCACCGGGGCCGGGGCGGGCGGAGAGGCCAGCCAGAGTGGGCGCCCGCGGCAGCCCCGGCACGGCGGCCCCAGCCTCCTCACTCACGCCTGGGACGGGAGACGGAGATTCCCCAACGTTTTCCAGCCAAACTCCTTCGACCAGTTCTGACAAGGAAGGAGGCGGGACGCCCGGGAAGAAACGTGCCCAGGCTCCCCCGCGGAGGCACAGCTGCCCTGGGAACTTACCTCGGCGGCCTGCGCAGGCAGAGGGGCTGGCCAGGGGGGTGGGCCTCGGGGGGCCGCCTGGCGGGCCAGGGCGCGACGCCGGGCAGTCACCACGGAGACGCAGGCCAGGAACACGGAGCTCTTCCTCCCCCTGGGCACAGCAGGCCCCGGGCAGGCTTGGTCTGCTTCCCGGGCCATGGTGGGGCAGGCCAAGGCCCTGGCCTGTGTGCCGTTGCCTGCCTGCTCTGATGGAGTTGAGCGCTGGAGTGCCTGGGCCTGCTGTCACCAGCGTGGCTGTCATACCTGCCCCCGTGACGGGCAGGGCCAGGAATTCCCGCCTGTGTGAGGCCATCGGCCTGCCAAATGGCAAGGTGCTTGCCCCAGCTGTCGTGGGGGGCTCTGGCTGGAGCTGTTCCTAGCTGGGAGGGGCCAGCCATCCCCTCTGACCCCCAGGCCCCAGCCCTGTAGCCCTGGCCAGAGCTGAGCAGGTGCAGGGGCAGACCCAGGGGCCTGGGCAGGGGTAGGGGTTCCACCGCCCACTCTGGCAGCCTTTCCAGCCAGGCGGACCTCAGAGTACCCCAGCCCCGACGGCCCGGTAGAGGGTCAAGCTGGGGTCACCAACAGTTCATCTCACCGAGTAGGGTAGCAAAAATAAATAAATAAATAAATAAAATACCAGCCCCATTATCACCCTTTCATCCGCCCACGTGGGGACCCAGACGAAGCTCCTGGCTCGGTCCTGGCTGTGTGGCCATCTGGGGAGCGAACCAGCAGATGGACGCTCTCCCTACCTGTCTGTCTGTCCCCCTCTAACTCTGACCTTCAAATAAATCTGTTTTAGAAACAACACCAAGGTGCTGGCTCGTCCCCAGGTTTCCCATTCTGCTGCATGCCTAGACTTAGGAAGCCGTTCAGCCAGGCCAACGTGCCCACTGGACACAGGGAATAAGGAAAAACAGGCCCGAGGTCTCACTGTGTGCAGCCTGGGACAGGGCACCCGCACGGCAGTGCCTGGTTCACGTCCCAGCTGCTCTACTTCCTGCTAACGCCCTGGGAGGCAGCAGATGGCACAAGTGCTTGGGGCCTGTCACCCACGTCAGAGACCCGGATGGAGCTCCAGGCTCCCGGCTTTAGCCTGGCCCAGCCCTGGATGTTGTGGGCATTTGGGGAGTGAACCAACAAGTGGACAGCAAGTCTCTATCTCTAATAAAATGAAAATAAAGAAACCTTAAAAATAAATGAGTACAAAGTCACCAAGACCGTGTCCTGGAGAGCACGGGGTGCTGCCCAGGATCTCTGGGGGTAGGGGGACTCCAGGCCCCGCCGGGCCAGCAACTGACAAAGCCTACACCCCCCTCCCCTGGTGTTCAGAGGCCTGAGCCCAAAGCCCAGCGGTCTCAGGGCGAAGTCCAGGCTGGACGGTGACCGGAGGGCGCTGGGCTGGGCACACGCATCCCCGGAGGCAGGGGCTCCGCAGCCCCCACCCCAGTAGTCCCCGCCGCCCCCTCTGACCGACAACCTCACATCCCCCTCGGGGGCTCTGTGGGGTGCAGGGGACCTGGCTGTACAGGAGACTCAGAGCCTAAAGCAGCCAGGCTCCTGTCCCCACTGGGCACTGCCTCCCCGGGCCTCCATTTCCTGACCTGTCACGGAAGGGGTGGGGGACGGAGGATCACACAGGGGTCTTCAAACTCAAATCCACTCTTGCCCTCCTAACCGCTCCCCTCGACTCCCCCAGAGCTCGCGACCTTGAACTCGTACCAGCGGCCTCCTGCAGGAGAAATTTTTCAGGAGACACCCAGGAGGTGAGGAGTCTCCGGGACGGAAGGTGGGCCTGGCGGAGGCGCCTCCTCCGACCCCAATCCCGCCGGACGGGAAGCTAGGTCCCCACTGGCCCCCGGGCTCCTCCTAGCCACTGCAGCCTTGACCCTGGCCTTCCTGCTGCTGCGGCCGCCACCTCGGACTCCTGCATGAGCGTCCCCGGCCTGGGAGCACGTCACGCTCATTAACGCAGCAGCATTGCCCACTCTGCGCCCGGCTCTGAGGGCCCTGTCCACTGGGGGTCAGAAGCCATCTCTGGCCTCCTGCATAGGCTGCCGCTCAATCCTAACCTCTGGGAAACAGTGGCTACCAAGGAGCCACGTCCTCTGGAACCCAGTGACAGCACCTCTAAGCCTCAGTTTGCTCGCCTGTAAAATGGGCAGGAGAGCACTGGCAGATCTAGCAAAGACTCAGCATGAGCCCGGCTCGTGGCTACACTCAGCAGACAAGCGCTGGTGCAGCCAAGGGCTGTCCCTCCCCCACCCCCATCCCAGCTTGTCCCCACTGGTGCTTGGCAAATGAGTGGAGCCCACACAGCTGACCCCACACCAGGCATCAAGCCCCGGACGGCAGTCAGGGGTCTGCCCAGCGCTCACGGCACGGCCTTGTAACCGAATCGTGGGAGAGATGTTGCAAAAGCAAACAGAGGAAGGGGGTGCAGGGCACCGGGGGGCCCAGGTTCTGGTCCACTCCTCGCCCTGCAGACGGGGCTCCCAGCCCGGCCCCGGCTAGGTGTTGGGTTGGGAAGGGACGGAGGCCCTGTCCAGACAGGGGGGGCCCAGTGAGGCAGGCCCTGGCGTCAGCGGGGATCCGAGGAGGGAGACCGTCCTGGGGTGCCCACGCTGTCCCCAGTCTGTCACCCTGCGTGGCCAACCGCTGGGTCACATGGTGCGGGCGCCGTGGGGACCCCCGGGGCAGAGGGGATCTCTCACGCGTGACTTGTGCTGTTACGCAGGGGCGGCTGCGGGCGGGGGTGGGGGCGGTACGCAGGGGTGGCCGCGGGCGGGGCTGGCTGGGGCTCTGCTTACAGCACAGAGCAGTGCAGGGAAGCAGGTGGTCGGTGTGTGTGCGGGGCTGGCACCTCCCAGCATCACCCCGTGCTGTCCCACGTCCCCTCCTACCCAGCTTCCCAAGCACGGCTGCCCCCACTCCCGACCTCCTGCCGGGCCTAATCTGGGCTCCTATACCCCGTAGTCAGGCACTGAGGGGGTGGGAAGGCTGGGGAGCCCAGAGGAGGCGGGGCCGCGGGAAGGGAGAGGCGGGAGCACCCACCCCGCCTGCGGCCCACGTGGTCCGGGCTGCCCGCCCTGCCCGCCCCGCCCCCCAGCTCTGGGGAAAGCCGGGCCTTTGTTCCCGGCCGGCCTGGAGTCGCCACACGATGCACCACATCGCTGTCACCGCCTGGAACGGGCAGAGCCAGGGCGCCGGGGGCTGGGCTCCAGGACAGCTAGGGGAGCCCCGCCTGCGCCGCCTCCCCCGCGGCCCAGAGCTGTGCACCCACTGTGTGTGACGCTCAGAGCAGCCCGGGACACCCAGGTCACCGTCCTGCCACGCGCCCCTGCTCCGCACGGCTCCCCGGGCCGTGGGTGGCTGGGCGGGGGCCTCTCACGGGCCCTGGCCCATTGTTTATAAACACTGGGGTGCTGTAGCTAGGTGCTGTGACTCAGAGCCAGAGTGGTGACTCCTCTGCTCACTGTTCTCTCAGCACAACATCCTGCCCGGGAACCCGAGGCCCGGCCCACTTCCCTGCAGCCCGCCGACCTCTGACCCAGGCCGCCCGGGAACCGAGGCCCATCATCCAGTCTCACACAGCCACGCCCTGGGGGCTTCCAGGCCCGGGACCCTTCCCCATTCAGCTCTGGCTGTGAGACTCCCAGGCCGCGCACTACAGCCCACGCCTGCCTACGCCTGAGAGGCAGAGTGGTCCTGACGTCCCCGTGTCCCCGAGAGCCTGCAGTGGCCATCTTCAGCATCCTCGGGTGGCAATGCACTTTCCCACAGCGCATCGGGCAGACCATGAGGCCAAGGTCACGACCCGGAGGCCCACAGAGTGTCAGGGCCAAGGTCAGGCGCGGCCCAGCCTGTCTGGCCCCAGGCACTCTGCTCTGCGGTGTGTTAAAGACACACAGCACAGAACCATGTGGTGTTGCTGGGTCCCTGTCGCCGGGCTGGGCGCTCTGTCCCCCATCTGAGGCTCAAGGGTCTGACTCCCACGTCCCCGGTCACCACTGCCCCCAAACCAGCGCCTAACCGGGGCGCACCATTCCCCGACGAGGCAGTGTGGACGTCACGGGGTTTGCGAGCTCAAGGACAGCCCCGGGGCCACACGGAGGAGCAGGGGCTTCCCCGCGTCCGTTCCCCCTGCAAACCCCAGCTTTCCCCAGAGAGTGCAGGGTGGTCTCACCCTCAGAGCCCTCCTCCGGGTGGGACAATCTCCTGCTGGTGGTCGTGGCGGAGGGAGCGAGGGCCAGAGCTTGAGGCCGGGGAGCCCCGGGCAGCCCCGGGAATGGGGGAGCCACAGGATGCACCTGCCGGGCGTGGGGAAGCTGGCTGCCGGGGGCGGGGGAGGCAGGACAGCAGAGGCTTCCCCTCGGAACAGGAACTCGGAGCGGGCCCGTGCGCCTACCGCAAGGCTCCCCAGCGTGGGCTGCCTGCCGGCCCCACTCCCACTGAGTCACGTGACTGCCAAGAAGCGGGTGCCTGAGAGCCCGGGCCCTGCCCCCGCCGCTCCCGCTGGCTTCGGGCCCAGCAAGATCCCGCAGTGCCAAGGGCACGGGCAGCAGAAGACAGGGCCCCCTCCCCGGCGGGCCCACCCCGACACCGCGGCAGCTGGGAGCCGGGCTTGGGTGGAAGGCTCTGGGCCTGTCACTGCTGTCTGGGGACGCTGGGTGAGGCAGGGCAGCTTCCGGGGCAGGTTCCCCCCCTCAGCCAGCCTGGGGCCTGGCCATTCACTGAGGCGACGGCGAGAGAACAGGGCCTTCTGCGTGGGAAGCCCTGAGCACAGGGCCTGGCGCGCGCCCCACGTTCAGAAAGTCGGTCTGCCGGCGCGGCCCGGCCTGCTCTCAGCCCTCCTGTTTAATTCACACCGCTGACAGACTTTTGCAAAACGTAACCAAAGTGTTCGGGCCACGTCAAACTGCCCCAGAGGCTTCTGGGACCAGAGGGGACACAGCCGCAGCACCCCCACGGGAGGCCCCAGGCACCCTGCGAACGCCCCGACACAGCAGCGAACGAACACAGCCCATCCCCGGTTCCCCCGGTGTAGCCGGTACAATGCATCGGCGCGCGTTTGGGGGTGAGAATGCGACAGAGGCGGCCGGCACGGAGGGGCTGCTGCAGGTTTAAACAGGCAGGAGCCGGAGGGAGGGGCAGGTGAGGACCCGGAGGAAGGTGGAAAAGCAGTCCCTCCCGCCTGGGATCCACGCGGCCCCCCGCCGGCCCCCCCCAATGAGGCTCTCAGCCCCACACGTGGCCTGCTCACCCCTCCCCACCCGGCTGCTGACAGGTCAGGGTGGACTGTGCACACACATGCGTGCACGCACCCCACCACGTATGCACCCCACCACGTATGCACCCCAACACACACACACCTGAGCATACACACACCAGCACACACATGCCCCAGCACACACACCCCAGCACACGCACCCAGAACTGGGGTTCTACCTGGGGCGGCTCTTCCCTCTTTTTAAAGCTGGGAGGGATGGGGCTGGCGCCGCGGCTCACTAGGCTAATCCTCCGCCTTGCGGCGCCGGCACACCGGGTTCTAGTCCCGGTCGGGGCGCCGGATTCTGTCCCGGTTGCCCCTCTTCCAGGCCAGCCCTCTGCTGTGCCCAGGGAGTGCAGTGGAGGATGGCCCAGGTGCTTGGGCCCTGCACCCCATGGGAGACCAGGAAAAGCACCTGGCTCCTGGCTCCTGCCATCGGATCAGCGCGGTGCGCCGGCTGCAGCGCGCTGGCCGCGGCGGCCATTGGAGGGTGAACCAACAGCAAAGGAAGACCTTTCTCTCTGTCTCTCTCTCTCTCACTGTCCACTCTGCCTGTCAAAAAAATTTAAAAAATAAAAATAAAATAAAAAAAAAAAAAAGCTGGGAGGGATGGGGCCGGTGTTGTGGTTAAGCTGCCGCCTGCCACGCCAGCAACCCCTGTGGGCACCAGTTCAAGTCCTGGCTGCTCCACTTCCAATCCCACTCCCTGCTAATGCGCCTGGGAAGCCCCAGAAGATGGCCCAAGGCCCAGATGGAGCTCCTGGCTCCTGGCTGCAGCCTGGCCCGGCCCTGGCTGTTGTGGCCATTTAGGAAATAAAGCAGCAGACGGAAGACCTCTCTCCCTCCCTCCCTCTCTGTCGCTGTGCCTTTCAAATAAACAAATATTTTTAAAAAATCCAAAACTGGGAGGGAGAGCGGAGGACAGGTGTCCCTGACACACACCGGCACGGCACCGGCACCGGCACCGGGCCAGGAGGAGGTCTTGGGCAATGGGTTTCTGCTCATCAGGTAAGTAGAGGCTGCTCCCTGCCCCCGCGTGGCTCTGC